ATACTGGCTGCAACTTTTGATGATGGTTGCTACCACCTTTGCGTCATATAAAAATGATTGCAACCACTGGTTGCAACCACCTTTACTGCCATTTTGTTTCCTTTTTTGGGTTGCGACATGGAACACTAATCAGTACTTTTGTGGGATATAATTGAGGTGGGATATATCTCAAGCAGTTGATCATTTCACGTGATTTTAATTTAAAATAAAATTTTTATTCAATATTTAATATCAATAAATTCTGTCAACAAGGATTGACGTTTTGCTTTATCTACAGAACTATTTAAATGTTTTATTAATTCACTGACATATTTAACATCTTTTTTTGTAGCAAATTCTTGTTGCTCCAAGAAACTTTTTGCAGTTTCAAGTGCTTTTCTTCCTCTTTCTATAGAAATAACTGATTCCTTTTCATTCATTTCCCCTTCCTCTTCCATTTCAACATCTTCAGGTTGCAAGACACCTTCCAAAATGAGAATACCTTCAACAATATTTTCATCAGTAGGCAATTCAGTTGTTATAATATCTGAATCAATATTAATGAATTCTTCAGCTGTCATTATGTGATTGATAATAATTTTTCCAAGGCCAGAAACTAATTCTTCAAAAACATCATTTGGTGTAGGTTCATCTGTGATTTCTACTGTTCTGTTTGGTGGTAATATCTTTGTTTTTTTCCAACAGTTTTTTATTGTTCTTCTTTTACAGCATCCCAAGCTTCTCCGACAATCTCAATTGCTTGTTTAATATTTATTTTTTTAATTTCATTTCCTTCATCTAAATCTTTAATCCATTTCAATACTAGTGTATTCCAATAATTGACCTTAAAATTATGAATGATTCCAGCATCACAAGGTTGAATATGTGATGTGGTATTGGGGGGAAGATATACTACATGCAAATTTTTAAGACTAAGATATGAACCATCAGTATGAGCAGGACAATTATCAATTAACAAAACTGATTTTTTCCTTAACTTGGAATCAAACCATTTCAACCAATTATTCCATAACTCCATTGTCATCCAGGCTTTTTTGCTATTGCAATATCTGACAGGTAATGTTTTAATATTAATATGATTGAAGCATCTGGGTTTTTGTGACTTGCCAATAACAAGGGGTCTTATTTTATTTTTTCCACTTGCATTGCAGCAAAAAAGTACTGTAGTTCTTTCTTTATCTTTTTTACATCCCTTTGCTTGATCACTTCTTGTTGCAAGTATCTGATCTGGTGCTAACTGAAAAAATAATCCTGTCTCATCTGCATTGTATATGTCATCTAAGGTTTCTGGTCGAAACTGCTTCTATTAGTAGCCGAAATTGCCCAAATACTTTGGGCAAAAATTATTTTTTTATAAGCCCAAACTACTTTTGTTATTAGCCAAAATTGGGCGAAATTATTTTAAAGTTGTTCAAGTTAAAACAAGTTGATTCATATAGTTTGTTAATGCCCATGCTTATATAAAATGTTGAGAAGCCCAAATTGCCCAAACTAGTTTGGGCTATGAGAAAACAGTTTGGACCAGAAACCTTAATGTCATCTAATTCATATTCAGCCAATAATGCATGACATCTTGCTCTTCCTTCTTCAACATTTTCAAGGTTAGCAGATTGGCTTTCACAGTAATGTTTTTACTACTGATTTCATATCGATTTTGAAAATTTTCTAACCATCATCTTGATGCTTCAAACTCAGGATATTGTACACCTTTATTCTTGCCTCATTATAAAAGTACAAAACCTTTTGTTTCAGCAATTCTTGAGAAACAGGTATGTTTTGACTACATAATCCTTGAAACCATTTATATAATGCATCTTCTAATACTGGAAAATGGCCTGGCTGAATCCTAGTTCTTTTCAATTCACTCGTTTTAGCATTAGAGTAAGATTTTAAAAGCTCTTCTTTTTTTCTAATGATACTACTAATTGTAGAACAGTCAACATCATATTCTCTTGAAAGGATTTCATCACTTATATTAATTCCAGTTTCTTTTTTTCTAATAATAGCTATTTTATCTTTTAGGGAAAGTGGAATTCTTTGTTTTCTCTTTTTATTATCCATTATTTTAATGAGTTTTATTGATCAGTCAAGCAAAAAGGAAAAAATAATTTAGATTTTACGAATTTATAAATTTTATTGAGATAATTTATTCAATTATTAAGATAAAAGAATGTATACATATTATGCCTAAGTCAAAACCAAGTTTTTTTATACATGTAAAAATGATACTTTGCCACAATTGTGAAAAAAAGGATATTTTTTTTTATTGTTAAAAGAAAACAGCATGTCTTTCTTTGTTGTTAAAAGAATCAACCAAACTGCCACCAAAAAAAAGAGATAATTCATAATTAATTTCTTTGTTGTTTGTTAAAGGAACCAACCAAGTTGTCACCAAAGAAAAAAGAATTAATTTATTTATTGTTAAAGGAATCAACCAAGTTGCCACCAAAAAAAAAAGAATAATTGATAATTATTTCTTTGTTGTTAAAGGATTCAACCAAGTCACCACCAAAAAAAAAGAGAATAATTCATAATTAATTTCTTTGTTGCTTGTTAAAGGAATCAACTAAGTCACCACCAAAAAAAAATTGATAATTATTTCTTTGTTGTTAAATGAATTAACCAAGTCACCACCAAAAAAAAAGAATAATTCAGAATTAATTTCTTTGTTGTTAAAGAAATCAACCAAGTCGCCACCAAAAAAAACCCATTGTTTTTAATATTAAGAAATCAAAAAATTTATTGTAAATGTTAGGTTACACTTGTATATCATTTACAAATAAGGCTAAAACGGGGATATAACGGAGCCAAAAAATGGGGGATAGGGATATAACTCAATGGAATATAAACGAGATAAAGTTTATATTAAAATAATATAGGGAAATCCGTCACAGCTCATTTGTGGGATTTAATTGAGGTTGGGATATAAATAAGGGGTATATAAAAGAGGTATGACTGTACTTAATAAAAATGAACAATTCTTTATCCACCTATTACAAAATAATTCTGTCATACTTATACATGATGCCAAATTAAAACCCCAAAGTCAAAATGTTTCGACTTGAGGCAACTACATAGTAAAAATCAGTTTCAACCTTATTTTGACCCTATTTTGACCAGATCTGCAAATGGTTCGACTTCATGTATAGTCATACTAATAAATTTAATTCTTTACCTTTTACTAATAATAAATTTAATTCTATATTCTTTATTATTATTTACTAAGCATAGAATTTAATTCTTTTCCATCTCTTACAAAAAATCAATTCTTTATCCCTTTTTTTTGTTAACACAAAGAAAAAGTATTTTACTAACATCACACAATTTTTATTGGACAACAATCACATGAAAGTCACTGGAGTGCACTCCCTATAAAAAATTTTTTTACGGAAAGTCCTACAAAATGTAAGGAACTGCGGGATGTGTAAGGAAAGTCCTACAAAATGCAAGGAAATTTGCATTTTTCCTTACATTCTATAATTTTTTTCATGTACGGAAAAATGCAAATTTCCTTGCATTTTGTAGGACTTTCCGTAAAAAATTTTTTATAGGGACTTAGAGAAGAAGTTTTATATAGATGGAAATGAAAAAAGACCATGCAGTGTAGGGGGAAGGGGGTGTGCACTTATCTCTAATTCCCAAGCTTGGGAATAAATGAAAGTGTGCACTTAGAGGGAGTTGACTGTATTTCATATTTTTAAAATATATATGTCAACTATATTCACTCATAATTTTTACCCAATTAAATTTCAATTAAAAATTTGGTAAAGCTAAAAATATTCATATACAGTATATATATAAAGATGGTTGAAGTTTTTTATGCAAACAATTTCTTTATTTGTATTTCTTTTGTCAAGACTGAAGACTTTTTATAATAAACTGAACACAAACTTTGCATCCATTCTTATCTTAATGTTAACAATTCTAGAAAAACCTACAAAGTGAACATAAATTATAAAATTATATATATAAGTGTATATGAAAAGTATTAACAAAGGTAATAAATACAATGGTTCTAATGAGTATCAAAAAGCAATTGATTTTTTAGAAAAAGGTTGTAAATGCAGTTGTTCTTCAAAAATTTCCAAGGAAGATAATTTTTCAGAATTAAGAGTCCTTTCAAGTTCTTCCTAAATCAGACAAGACATATTTTTGATGGTCTAACTTGAGGCAATGGATGGAGGGTTATTAAGCACTAGCAGACATCTTGAAAAGAAAATCAGGTTTAATAAAAGAACTTTCTACCACTGGGATCACAATACACTGCTTTGTCAAGAAACTTATCCTAATGTGGTGGGCACATCAGGAAATTCTTTCTGACATGGATTTATGTAATTATTACACCATTTACAGCGGGCCTCATAATATTATGCAAATAAGCATACAAAAATTATGCAATTATTACATTGAGTGTAAATATTACATAATTTTTGTATGCAAATATTACAACTTTACATATTAAAATTTATGGATGTAATATTATGGCAGGGAAAATTTCCTGATGCATTTGTATGACTTATTTTGAAATATCAAAAATAATCTGATAAACAATGGACTTCTAGCAAGAGTTCATGGCAATATTAAAAGAATGCATTAATGGAAAACTAAAATGAAGATTGACAAAAATATTGCTGAAATTGTAAAGAATTTTCTGGAGAATTATGGGTCCAGGAAGAAGTGCTGATAGAATAACCCAATCATTTATCTTTTACCAGCTGAAATGAGTTATAAATCAGTGTATAGAGATTTCATCAAGAAATTTTTTATGACATGGATTTACATAATTATTACACTATTTATGTGAGTTTACAGTGGACCCTTTAATATTATGCATAAATTATGCAATTATTACATTCAATGTAAATATTGCATAATTTTTTATGCGAATATTACAACTTTACATATTAAAAATTTATGGACATAATATTTGGTGGGGAAAATTTCTACAAGTCCCGAATGTAAATCAATATTTCTGCCAACATAATGGACACTGTAAAACAAGTTATTTCATTTGCCAAATTTTGTCAATCTTTTTTCAAATCATCACATAAAACCAATTTTTTGATTGGTTTGAAATTTTTTATCACATTTCTAAAAAATAAAAAATCCTGAATAATTTGGATATTTTCAATTAGAATTGGCACCTGTAATGTATTACAGTGTTGCAACTCATGTTGCAACAATACAACATTGGAGGGTTGGTGTTGCAACTAACTGTAATGTTGTAATATTTATTATACAAATAAAAGGTAGATCATGATCCTTACCTTTCTAATTATATCAATAATTAAAGATGACTGATAACAAAAATAAACTTGGTCCAAAATACAATGATATTTGGGAATATTTTACATTTGGTAATCATCTTGGTATGGACATTACCAAGTTATGTGTAGCCATATTTTTTTTGTCATGTTTTAAAGATGCCCAACCATATCTTTTACATTCTCACGTTTCTCAATGTTCAAAAGCATCTAATCAAAAATGAAGTAAATGAATTGATTTTACAAAGTCATCATTTTCTAAACAAGGAAAAACTCCTGAAAATTCTGGGCAACATCATATTGATGGTTATTTTTGTTCAGTTGATTTAGAAGAATCATGCATAAAACAATTGATAAAGTTTTAGTTATGATGTTTACTATGTGTGCATTACCTTTCCACTGTGAGATTGTAAACCGTGGACCAACCAATTGCCCGTTAATATGGACCAATTAGAACGAACTTACTACGGAAGTCATGTGATGCACTAAATATCACATCACGATTAATGATCATCTTTCTATAGTTGGCTTGGTCTAAAGACCTCCTAAATTTTGGGCAAATTTTAAAAGTATAGGAGTCACTTCCTGTCCTACCTTTTAAAAAAATAGCTCTATTAGTTGATAGAATATGTCTTTAGTTTTAATGTAATAGAGAGATTTTCTCAAAAAAATTATTTGTTGTAGAGTTCTATTCTTTTTTAAAACATGTACTTTACTACGCTCGCGAGGAATTTGTCCGCTAAGATCATTTCTAAATTTAGGAACTTATTACCAAATTTAGACTAACTCTTGACTATCGGATCTAAATTTGGCAGTAAGAAAACTAAAATCACGTGAAGTCCTATTTTTTGAAAAATTTTAATCCATTTTTGAACAAATTATAAAATTGCTATTTTGAAATTTGGCTGCATGGCACAGCAATAGGAGATCTTTAGACTGAGCCAACCATATTGTGAGTGAGAATTGAGAATCCTTAGCTGTGTGCAGAGATAGGGAAATCTATAGATTTGTTGGACATGTCACAAGCTGTATTTGAAATTGCATGCTTGCACTACCTTGTAGAAAACCCATTTTTCATTAATTTTTTAAAGCATTAAATTTTGGATATCAACCACCTTCAAGAAAAGTGATATAGACAAAAATGGAGATCCACATGCTTATTTGCCACAATTAGATGATGAATAGATAAATGAATTAATTTTTTTTAATAAATACTGTCACCGGAATGTGAATTGGACCTTAATTTGCTGATCAATAACCCCGAAAATCCGGAGTGATATTTTCTATATTATTTTTATATTATTTATTTATTTATTATTTTTAGTTATTCATTTATTTATTTTTAATTATTTATTTTATCTATTATTTTAATTTTATTTTATTCTATTTTTATTTTGTAATAATTTCCAAATGATTTAAGGGTAGAGTTCAGTTACACATAATAACAGTCACCCGTGATGTCACAATGAGTGATTTTGTTATAACGATCGACATAGCACTTTTTCGTACAACAGACTTTAAAACCAAAAATGAACGAAAAAGCATGATCAAACATCCTTCA